ATGGCTAAAATCAACAAAACAATGAAACAAATGTTGGTGAGGATGTAGAGAAAAAGGAATACTAGTGCACTTTTGGTAGGAATGCAAACTGATGCAGCCACTGTGGAAAATAGTATGGAGGTTCCTCAAAATTTAAAAATAGAACTACCATACAATCCAGCAATCACATTCCTGGGTATTTACCTAAAGAATACTAAAATACTAATTCAAGAGGATATGTACACCCTTATGCTTATAGCAGTGTTACTTACTATAATGAAGATATTGAAGCAGTCCAAATGTCTTTTGATTAATTAATGGATAAAGAAGATGTGGTATGCATATTATTCAGCCATAAAAAGAATAAAATCTTTGCAACAGTGTGGATGGAGCTAGACAGTATTATGCTAAGCAAAATAAGTCAGTCAGAGAAAGACAAATACCATATGATTTCACCCATATGTGGAATTTAAGAAACAAAAGAGACAAGCAAAAGGGAAAAAGAGATACACACACAAACCAAGAACAGACTCTTAATTATAGAGAACAAACTGATGGCTACCAGAGGGAAAGTGCAGAGAGTGGGGGGGATGGGCTAAATAGATGATGGGGATTAAGGAGTGCAATTGTCATGATGAGCAGAGAGAGATGTATGGAAATGTTGAATTACTATATTGTACACCTGAAATTAATATATAACACTGTATGTTAACTAACTGGAATTAAAATTAAAACTTAAAATTAAATTTAAAAAAGAAAAAGTAAGGGGAGCCTGGGTGGCTCAGTCAGTTAAGCATCCGACTTCAGCTCAGGTCATGATCTCAAGGTTCGTGAGTTTGAGCCCTGCATCAGGCTCTGTGCTGACAGCCAGCTCAAAGCCTGGAGCGTGTCTTCGGATTCTATGTCTCCCTCTCTCTCTCTGACCCTCTCCTGCTCATGCTGTCTCTATCTCTCTTTCAAAAATAAATAAAACATTAAAAATTTTTTTAAAATAATACAAAAGAAAAAAGAAAAAGTAAATGGTTAACCTATAAAAAGAGAGTGACCACCTAGTGGTGCTTTCCATGGGACTGGAGACCGAGTACTTCTAGTCCCTAAGCCAAGCATGACATTCTAAGATCATTGGGGGCCATTGAGGGCTATCACAAAAGACACCAAGCCTTGATATACACAGGAGAAAAGATTAAAAAGAGTCTCATGGAGGACCTAAGGAGTAGCCAAGAAGGACAAGGGCAACTCTGGGCTCCAATCTGTTCAACAGCCCAGGCCCCACGGGAGAGGAGAGGTTGTACTCTCAGCAACAAAGGCATAAAAGACAGGGATAGCCAAGAGAATAGAATACGTAAAAGACAGGGGTAGCCAAGACAATAGAAGCAGTTACAGAAGGCAGTTCTGTTTGGAGAGGATCTCTCCAGGACCTCCTAGCAGGGAGTAACCAGGGGCCAAGTGGACGGGAGGGCAGGGGGCTGTTTTCTTGCTCTGTGTTCCTAAGTCTGGGTTCTATTTGCTCTGCCTCTCTTTCTCCCACTCCTTGGCTTTTTCATTTTGCTTCCTTCATTTAAACCTTCTGACCTTGGACCTCTCTTTCCTAAGATCTTCCCTACAGAGACAAAAGCCTGAGATCTGGAAAACAAGTGAGAAAAAGGAGGCTGGCTGAGCTCTCCTCTGGCAGGGTAGAAACCCCTGCCTTACAAAAGAGCAACCAAAGGCTGCCTCAGAGAGCCTGACACAGGAGAGGTATGCTATCAAAGCTGAAAGAACAGTGCCAGCAGGAGATCCTCCCATTTAAATTATTGATCCAAGACCTGAAAAGAGATAGCAATTGAATTTACCCATTTCTGATTTTTTAAAAATCAGGAACTAGAAATGGACATCAAATCATGTAAATAATAGAGACCATTCATTAGAAAAGCATTAGTCAGCAGTACACTGAAGGGAAAGTTCTAAAGACATTCTCCTTCAAGTCCAGACCTAGACAGAGATGTTGTCTATCACTGTTTAATTATATTGTTTAGAAACTTATAAATATTTTAATTTAAGACTCAAAATAAAAACTTACAATGTCAATCTTATCTAATGGTAGGAAATACCTTCTTCTACCAAAAAAATGTGGAAAAATACTACTAAAAAACAATTTGCTTTGGAAAGCAAAAGAGCTGTATTTTGGGAAATGTCTTAAGAAACAAATTTATCAGAAGGTTTCTTAGGTAATAGAAGCCAATTAGGAAATACAAAGAGAGACAAAAGTAATATTAATAGAAAAATCCCCCAAATATCTGTAACAAAAAGGTCCAAAACATAGATTACTGAAAAGAAAGAATCAATGGGTAGGGACATCAGTTTTCCCATAATTAATTTGTATTTTTAAATATAATACTCCAGCGGTACCTGGGTGGCTCAGTCAGTTAAGCGCCTGACCTCATCTTAGGTTGTTATCTCCTGGTTTATAAGTTCCAATCCTGCATCAGGCTCTGTCCTGAATATGCAGAGCCTGCTTGGGATTCTCTCTCTCCCTTTCTTTGTGCCCCTCCCCTGCTTGTTCTCTCTCTCTCTCCAAAAAGAAATAAATAAACTTTAAAAATACATGTAATATTCCAAGAAAATAACATTTAAATTAATTAACATTAATTTAAAACATTTTTTAAGTTATTGCTAAGAATCTCCCTTACCATGTGGTAAATACATGATTCAATTGGTAGTGACACTAAAAACAGAAAAGATTGTCCTGGGGGACAGTGACATTTGAATGCATGTTGGAATTTAATATATGACTAAATAAGGGCATCAGAATAATGGGGGAAAAAGGCTTATTTATGAATGGTGCTGGAACAATGGTTTAACTATTAGTGGGGTGAAATAAATGTAGATACTTTTTCACTCCATGTGAAAATTCATTTAAAATTCATTTAAAAATTAAAATACATTTTTGTAAAGAACATGCTAATAACTATTTATTAAAATACTGGATTTTACATTATTAAAAGTTTAAAAGTCATGAAATAATATTAAAAAGTACAATTGTTATGACCACATAAAAGTTTGTGTATGCATGTGTGTAAATCATTTTTTAGAAAAGATAGAATTAAAAATTTTTTTAATGTTTTATCTATTTCTGAGAGAGAGAAAGACAACGTGAGCAGGGGAGGGTCAGAGAGAGAGGGAGGAACACAATCTGAAGCAGGCTCCAGGTTCTAAGCTAGCTATCAGCATAGAGTCTGCTGTGGGACTCGAACCCACAAACCGTGAGATCATGACCTGAGCCGAAGTCAGATGCTTAACTGACTGAGCCACCCAGGTGCCCCAAGATAGATAGAATTTAATGGAAAATGAATTGGGGGAAATATTTCCAGACAATTCAACAGAGGTAATACCCTTAAGATATAATGAAAGTTTTTTAAAAAGGCATAATGAAATCCATACAAATTAATAAGCTGTATTCCACACTGAACACTTGAAAAACATTACTGCATTTAATACTACGAGGTAAGTTACACATAAAGACAGAAAAGAAAATTAATGAGGAAGCCCATAAATGGAAAATAAATCTTTGAGAATGTCAAAGCTCATTCAACGGTGAAGTGAAAACTGAACCAAACTGAAATATCAATTTTTACTCACTCTATTAATAAAGATTTTTAAGTTAAATTTCCTAATTTGGAATGTGATGAAATGGACGGATGTGATGAAGTAACACAGTCCTGAACAAACTCTGGGTGTGTAAAGTACTACAATGTCTCCATGAAGCAACATTTCAGTATATATTAAGATTATTTAAAATATCCATTTTCTCATACAGGGGCAGAATAACTTCTTGAAAGACAATTTGGCAATATTAATCAAAATCTTTCTTTTTCCATTTCACCCTGAAATTCATTCTTAGAAACTATCCTATAAATAAACTTATACATATGCATAAAGATACATGAACAAGTACATTTAGTACATTGTTTTTTTACAGAAGCAAAATACCAGAAACAAATTGAATGTCAGAAGTTCTTATTAAATTATCAGATATCCATGTGGTAGAAAATTATTCACTTAGCAATGTGGCATATTTAGCTTTGATAGGGAGCAGTCTCCAAGATAATTAAGTTAAGAAAGAAAAGGAAAGAAAACAAAGGATAAAGGGTATGATTAGTATGCTAACATTTGCTTTTGTCTTTTATGAGATAACATATACGAATATTCTTGTTCATGAAAAAACTATCTCTGGAAAGATTCCTAAGAAACTGGGTTACTGGCTGCCTCTGGTGAAAAGGAAGAAATTTGGGAGTCTCCAAGCACAGAAGTCTTAGTATCCATTGTTTATATTTTTTATTTTATTTGACTTTTAACCATGTACATGTATGACAGTTAAAATCAAAATATTACTAGAAAAATTTTAAGATGTTCTTTGTAGGTATCACTTTTGTATCATTTTAAAAATCCTACTCAAAGGAAATAGTGGTGAGTAAATTATGGAACAGCCAAATATGGAAATATAAAGCCATCATCAAAATTAAGATTCCACATTGGTTTTAATGATCTGGAAAGTTGTGGTTTATTTTTTCATCCATGTCATAAATTTTTACTGAGCTCCTATTTTATGTCCTAGAACACACTACTAAAATAAATACAAAGGCAAGATACAACATTATCTCTGTATAATGATGTAAATTGGAAATACAAATATAATTATAAAATGGAAATAATGGAAAGAAATCAAATATTAATACTTGTTATCTGTTAGTAATAAGATTATTCTCGATACATATGTGTTTGAACATACTTATTAGAAACATGAGTGGCAATGATAAACGGCTATTTCAAACTTTAAGTTCAGAATAAATTTTGACTTGTTTTATTGGTTCTTTGTAGAATATTTCCAGGAGCCAAAATAAGTTAAAGGTTGTGCACACATAAAAGGAACTGGGTCATTTGGTGGGAGCCTCTATTATCAGGACCCTAAGCTAAACTTTAAAATGCAATCTTCTTGCCATTTCAGTTTTATGGACAGACACTGCTAACGGGGCACCTGTGCCATGGACACTCCTACCAGTGTTACCAACAGTTCCAGCCTCCAGATTTCCCACTTCATCCTGATGGGGCTTCCAGGCATCCATGAGTGGCAGCACTGGCTCTCCCTGCCCCTGGCTCTGCTCTACTTCTTAGCTCTTTGTGCCAACATCCTCATCTTGACCACGATCCAAAATGAGGCCATGCTGCATGTGCCTGTGTACCATTTTCTGGGCGTATTGGCAGTTGTGGACATGGGCCTGGCCACCACCATCATGCCCAAGATCCTGGCTATCTTCTGGTTTGATGCCAAGGCCATCAGCCTCCCTGAGTGTTTTGTTCAGATCTATTCCATCCACTGCTTCTTATGCATGGAATCTGGTGTCTTCCTCTGCATGGCAGTGGACAGATATATAGCCATCTGTCACCCCCTTCGATACCCCTCTATAGTCACTGATGCTTTTGTGGTCAAAGCCACAGGATTCATGGTGCTCAGGAATGGCCTGTTTACTATTCCAGTTCCAGTACTGGCTGCCCAGAGACACTATTGCTCCAAGAATGAAATTGACCACTGCCTCTGTTCTAATTTGGGGGTCACCAGTCTAGCCTGTGATGACATCACTGTGAACAAATTTTACCAGATGATCTTAGCATGGATCCTTATTGGGAGTGATATGGCTCTGGTTTTTTCTTCCTATGTGTTAATCCTTCGCTCTGTGCTGAGGTTGAACTCACCAGAAGCAATGTCAAAGGCTCTGGGGACCTGTAGCTCCCACCTCATTCTCATCCTCTTCTTCTACACAGGTATCATTGTGTTGTCTGTGACACACTTTGCAGAGAAAAAGATCCCCCTAATCCCTGTACTCCTTAATGTGCTACACAATGTCATACCCCCTGCACTCAATCCCATGGTCTATGCACTCAGGATGCAAGAGCTCAGGCTGGGCTTCCAAAGACTACTTGGGCTGAGTGAAGATATGTCCACTAAGTAAGTGAAGATACATCCACTAAGTAACTCCAGCTTTAGAAGGCCATTAAGGTGTGACTAAAGGATAGAGGTTTTAGCTATTGATAGACTTGGGTTGTAATTTGCCTTTATCCCTCACTAGGAAATAGCCAATAAAATTGTGAAAACTGTCAGTCTAACTGATCAAAATATACATATGAAAATCACAATAAAATTTCCTTTTACTATAAAATAAGTAAGAATAGAAAAATGAAATGTCACTGACCACTAATGCAATTCTGAGAATGATACTCTTACACAGCTGATAGGACTGTAAATTGGCCCAAAGTTACTGAAAAACAACTTGACAAAATTTACTGGAATGTTTATAAATGTTTATATTCTTTCATTCAGTAATTCTATTTTTAGAAAAATATCCAAAGGAAATAGTCTAAATGGGGGAACCTGGGTGCCTCAGTCATTTGAGCCTCCCACTCTTCATTTCATCTCAGGTCATGATCCCTGGGTCATGGGATCCAGCCTCGCATCAGGCTCTGCACTGAGCATGGAGCCTGCTTGAGATTCTTTCTCTGTCTCCTTCTGCCCTCTCCCCATCTCATGTTCTCTCATTCTCTCTCTCTAAAATAAATTAAAAAATAGTCTAAATGTAAGCAAAAATTTACTCATAAAAAATTTCATTGTTAATAATAGAAAATGGGGGTGCTTGGGTGGCTCAGTCAGTTAAGTGTCTGACTTCAGCTCAGGTCACGATCTCATGGTTTGTGGGTTCGAGTCCCACATCAGGCTCTGTGCTGACAGCTAGCTCAGAGTCTGGAGCCTGTCTTTGAATTCTGTATCTCCCTCTCTCTCTGACCCTCCCCTGCTCGCCCTCACTTTGACTCTCAAAAATAAATAAAAAACATTAAAAAATAATAACAGAAAATGAAGACTTTAAAATTGTTACATGAATTGACTCTAACTTGCACATATTTGTTTTTCATGTCATTTTCATGATAAGAAAAAGAAAATAATTAGGAGGAACTTAACGGAGGACCATGGGGGAAGAGAAGGGGAAAAATAATTGGGGAGAGGGAGGGAGGCAAACCATGAGAGACTCTTGAATGCTGAGAACAAACTGAGAGCTGATGGGGGTGGGGGAGAGGGGAAGGGGGGTGATGGGCATGGAAGAGGGCACTTGTGGGGATGAGCACTGGGTGTTATATGGAAACCAACTTAACAATAAACTAAGGGGGGAAAAAAGAAAAAGAAAATAAATATTTATTCTAAAAAGACAAAGAAAAGTTTCATTTGTGTACCAGAGAATATAAAAAATGATAATAATCAAATAATTAATGGTTAACAAGTGCTAAGTACCTCTCTCATAGGCCAGGAAACACACACATAATCTGATTTAATACAATTACTCTGTGAGGCACATAAAGTATTATTCCTAATGTATAGCTAAGGGATCTAGGATCCTGGGGGTTATAGAACATGCCCCATCAGCACAATTTTCTTTTTTTTTTCTCTTTCATAGTTTCTTGTCAAGTTGGTTTCCATATAACACCCAGTGCTCCTCCCAACAAGTAGTCAGCACAATTTTCAAGTCGGGGAGCTTGGATTCTACTCCTTGCAAGCATGATTGTACATTTGCACTATTCTCTCTCTTACTCTTGCTCTGTTTGTGAATTTCTATATGATCTTGAGCAACTTATGAAATCTCCCTCTGCTTCAATTCTTCAAGTTAAAAGTAGTGATCATCATAGCATTTTGCTGAACTAAGTCACAGCATACCATGCCAAGCAAAGGAGATAATAAAGAAAACAGGCTTTGAGATATAATATGAACATATAAAAACTGATCTAATTATGTGGTGAAGCTTTCTTCTAGGAAAGGAAGAAAATGATCCTAGAAAATGCCATAGCAAAGTAGCTCCAAATAACCAACTAATTAAATCAAAGTGAAATTTTACCGTTTGCACATCTAACAATGATGCATACTTTTGAGTACAAGAATGCTAATCCATGTTCACTTTGTACCTTCTCTGAGCCTAGTACAGAATTTTACACATGATGTATGCTTAATACTTGATTCACAATGTGGTTGATCAGGAGTATAACTTGGTCTGTCGACCTGTGTACCAAATATATGAGACCATGGTATGAAGAATGACCTCAGAAAGTTTGCATGAGTCCACCTTGGAGAAGAACCTCTTAGAAGACAGCCCAGGACTGAAGCAACACCATGAGCTCATCTCACCAGGGAAGTGAGAGCTAGGCAGCATAAAAGACCTGCAGGAAGTTAGTCCATAATGTGGGACAATCCTAAGAGTAATGCTTCGAAACTCACCCAAGAAAAGGACTATAAACTTTCTCCAGAAGGAACTATTACTTCACCCTTGACAGGCAATGGCCACCGATTCAGATTGAAACAATCCTTCAATAAGAAAAGGTCTGGGAGAAGACAGTTACAGAAAAGGGCTTAAACTTAACCCAATCTCCAGTATTTCAGCCCAAAGGAGCAGGGTAATAACAACATCTAACCTTTAAGAATTCTTTACAGTTTGCAGAACACTTTCTCACAGTGGATCAACTAATTTCATGTAGTCTTCATGACAGCCTTTGCAGTTAGGAAGCATTACTATTAATGCTTCTTTATGAAGAAATAGGTGCTCAGGTTGAATGATTATACAAGTTCACCAACTGGTAAACAGCAATATTGAGCCATCCTAAAAGCTGTCTCTAAACTTTCATTCACACATATTTTTTTCATGTATTCATTCATTAAAAAACACACAGCATAAGTATATGTGTAGGAGGCCAAAGTGTACACCACTCTCAACAGCTCTGTGGGAATATGTCCCTCAGTCCTTTTGAAAATATGTAAACATCTAACATCCAACCTGGAGTTTCAGCAAAAATTCTGACACAACAGAAGGATAAAAGCAGTTAATTATTCTCTTCACTCTATGTGCCATGAATATAAAAAGGGATGTGAATTCTGTTTTATCTTTATAAATTCTTCCTCTCTGCCATGTGTTTTATATTTACCCATTTGTTTTGCCTTATATGATTTTAATACTGTAATACTATTTTATTTTTAATTGCCTATTGTTTTTTTTCTAGAACATTTACTTTCACATCCAGTTGATAATTTAATTTGGACCTGTCTTTTCAAAATAGCATTAGTTGTGGGGCGCCTGGGTGGCTCAGTCGGTTAAGCGTCCAACTTCGGTTCAGGTCATGATCTCACAGTTCATAGTTTCGAGCCCCGCATTGGGCTCTGTGCTGACAGCTAGCTCAGAGCCTGGAGACTATTTCGGATTCTGTGTCTCCCTCTCTCTCTCTGACCCTCCCCTGCTCACGCTGTCTCTCTCTCTCTCAGAAATAAATAAAACATTAAAAAAATTCAAAATAGCATTAGTTGTGTCTTCATTACTATATGAATCAAAATCATGATGAGATGTCACTACATACCCACTAGGATGGTTATAATTAAAAATATAGATAGTAAGTGTAGGGGAAGTTATGGAGAAAATAAAAAACAGCTGGTGGGGTTATAAACTGGTGCAGCCATTTTAGAAAACAGTATGGCAGTTCTTCAAATTATTAAACAACAGTAACCACATGACTCAGCAATTCCACTCTTAGGTAAATACCCAATTGAACTGAAAACATGTATGTCTGCACAAAAATTTGTACCTGAACGTTTATAGCAACATTATTCATAATAGCCAAAAATAAAAACAACACAAATGTACATGAACTGATGAATGCAGTAAAAAAAAAAAAAAAAAAGTTATTTACCCATACAATGGAAAATTATCCAGCCAGAAAAAGAAAAGTACAGATACATGCTACAACATGGGGGAATCTTGAAAACATTAGGCTAAATGAAAGAAAGTCAGACAGAAAAAGACACATATTATGTGATTTCTTTTATATGAAATATCTAAAATAGGCAAATAAGGACAGAAAGCAGATAAGTATTTACCATGGACTAAAGGAACAGGAAAATGGGAAACAACTGTTTACAAAAGGGTTTCTTTTGAGGATGGTGAAAAATTCTGTAATTAGAAGTATTAGTTGCAATACAATAATATTGTGAATGAACTGGAAGCCACTGAATCATACACTTTAAATGATTTAAGTGCTGCATCTTATGTTATTTGAATTTTACCTCACCTAAAGACAAACAGAAAAAACTTTATTCTTTCAATATCTCTCCAGTGCCCTCAACTGTCAAAGTTTGGCATCATTACAGTGGACAAAGACATATTTAAAGAACTCTGATCCATTTTCACAAAGCTGGCCAAAAAGAATGGTTTGTAACTTAGTCACAATAAACTGATTAACAGCAGAGTTCACACCTTTGACTACTCATCTTCCACATGCACCATTTTACACACCTTTGAACTCCCATACAACAAGAAAACAACTCAATACTTCTATTTTAAAAGATACAACTATTCTGCATATAAAGAAGTTCTTACTTTTTCCACAAAATAACAAGATGCACAATCCCGACAGTCACTGTATACTTTGCTGGATATAATACCCTATTCTTCAAATTCAGTCAGAGTTCAATCAAATATTCTGTTACCTAGACACTAAACTGTAAAGTTAATTTCCAATAACTTGTGCATAAAATAAAAATGGAAAGGAAAGGTTCACATGTAAAAATAGAAATTTGCATATGAAAAGCAAATAGAAAATATTCAAAGCTACTACAGTTCTAATTTCCATAATTGTTAATGGGGTCATAATTGATATCTACCACATTTATCCCAACTTTGTCAAAATTTGGCAGAGTAACCAAAACCTTCATTCCTAAAGGGTACAAATTCTCAGCCATCCTGCCCTTTCTTGGTATATTTTTCCATTAACCCTTACTAGCAGGCATGGTAGCTACTAAGAGTCACCTCAGGGGATATCGTGGGTTCCCAGCATACTCTACATGTCCCTGCTGCATAGAAGCAACTTAATTTCAAAAAAAAAAAAAAAAAAAAAGAAGAAGCAACCTAATTTCCCCTTGGTAAGTAGGTAA